AGGGAAAGAATGGGAGCCTCTCTGCTGAGGCTCTAAGCCATGCCTGCCTGCCTCCCTTTCCTCCCTCCCAGGGTATATCCCTAGTTACCTGGACAAAGACGAGCAGTGTGTCGTGTGTGGGGACAAGGCAACCGGTTATCACTACCGCTGTATCACTTGTGAGGGCTGCAAGGTATGGACCAGCCACCTCCTGTCACTCCCTTACCACCCGAGCCCCCATCTCAGTCCCTTTAAGGCCCTCAGCACCTGGCATAATAGACATGCTCCATTGCTATGTCAGCTAGAACTCACCTGTTACATCATTTCTCTTACTCATTCACTCCTTCATCTGTTCATTCATAATCCCTGCTCTGCCACTCACAGTAAATCGCCTGACCTTTCTGAGCCTTAGGTTCTTTATCTGTACAACTGAGATAATCATACTACCTACCTCTGAGAGTTGTTGGGAGAGTGGAAGGAGGTAATTCACACACAGTGTTCAACAGAGTGCCAGGTACATGAGTCAGTAGGGGCCAGCAGGTGGTATGGTGGTTAAGGCACTGGATTCCCACATGGCCAATCATGGTTTGAGTCCCAGACGTAGCGGCTTGAAAATCATATCAGCATGTGTGCATGTGAGAGCACCCACCCTAAGGGAAAAAAAAAAAAAACAGTCAATACATGTCAGCTCTCATCCATCCATTCCTTGTATTCACTGTGAGGGGTGCAGAATCTAACCTACTGTCAGGCTGCTTGCAACTTGCCAGAAAGGGACAGACTTGAAATAAACATGAGTGGTTTTCAAAATGTAGTTCATGAACCAATTTGAATAGTTAAAAATACAGATTCCAGGCCTTTTCCAGAGCCAAGGACACCTTTTTTTTTTTTTTTTTTTTTTTTTTTGCTTTGCTTTGTTTTAATTGCCAGAGAGTGCATGAGCTTACCAGAGAGACAAAAAAAACAGAGAGAGGGAGAGAGAGAAAGCACCCTCCCAATGGTGCATGGTCATACTTCAATCCCTCTTCTATTTCTCCATCCTGTTGGGAGTCAAGGTAGGCATACACATGCCCATCATGTTTTTCAAGCCACTGGAGCTAGCATTCAGACCACAGAGGGCCACGTGAGATCTGATTCCTTAAGCCCTAGGCTACAGGGCCAGCCTGGAATCTATCTTTTGATAGGCCCCCTGGGTTCTTCCAATGTACCTGAAAGGCTGAGAATGAATGAGGGAGGCATAGTGGGGTCACAGAGGAGAAGAGGATGACAGGTTCTCCCTGGGCAGAGGGGACAGAGGCATAGACTTGGGGAGGTCTAATTAGATTCACTTTGGTCATTTCAATTTGCATGACTTTTCCAGGATCACACCTCCTGAAAATTTAAGACTTTCCAAGAAACAGATCATTTAAAAATATGTTAAAGCTTAAAGGGTCTCTCTTTCTTAGTGTCAGTCAAACCAAGACTACTAGGAGTTTAAAAAGCCCATAGCAGTATGGGTCTGGCAGGTGGAGTGATGGTTAAGGGCACTGGATCCCACATGGCTGACTGTGGTTTGACTCCTGGACCTGGCAGCTTGCTTTCTCACTACCCCTCCCCCTCCCTCTCTGGTTAAATTTAAATAAATAAATGAAGTTAAATAAAGATAATTCTTTTTTTTGGGGGGGGGAAGTTTTTGCTATAGGACGCGTGCGCTCGCCAGACAGAAAGAGACATAGAGACAGAAA